GGGAAAAACAGATGCTCTACCACTGAGCCACACCCTTGACTGGCCACTCTCTCAGATTAACCTAACTCATAAGAACATAAGAGATGCCAATGTTGGATCAGGCCAAAGGCCCATCCAGTCCAACACTCTGTGTCACACAGTGGCCAGAAATACCAGGTGCCATCAGGAGGTCCACCAGTGGGGCCAGGACATAAGAAGCCCTCTCACTGTTGCCCCCCGCCAAGCACCAAGAATACAGAGCATCACTTGCCCCGGAGCCCCTATCTATACCTTGTGGCTAATAGCCATTGTTGGACCTCTGCTCCATATGCCTATCTAATTCCCTTTTGAAGCCATCCATGCTTGTAGCCACCTCCACCTCCTGTGGCAGTGAATTCCATGTGTTAATCACTCTTTGGGTTAAGAAGTACTTCCTTTTATCCGTTCTAACCCGACCGCTCAGCAATTTCATGGAGTGCCCATGAGTTCTTGTATTGTGAACTCAATCTACTGTTGTAAAGATCAAATGGGGGATAGGAGAATTGTGCTCTGAACTCCTTCGATGAAGTGTGGGATACAGTTGTGACAGATGACTGAAGATAATGTAGTTTATGTGGGGCTGCCCTTGAAGAGAATCTAGAAATTGTAGGCGATGCAGAATATGGTAATGATTGCTAACCAGGGCAAGCCAGATGATGCATTTGCCTATCTTAGACCAATGTCATTGGCTGCCGGAATATTTCTGGAACCAATTTAAAGTGCTGCTTTTGACATTTGAGCCCTAAGTAGTTTGTGTCCAGGAAGAGTAAAATACTGCCTGTTTCCATACAAGATTATTTGCACTTTAAGCTCCGTGTCTTAAATTGGCCCAGATCCTTCGGTCAGAATTGAATTAAAGAGTGAACTTAAATACATTGTCTTATAGGTGGCAATGGTCACCAACATCTTGAACAGAACATGTGCTATCATCCCAAATAGTAGCCCATTGTTGAGGTCACACTCACACCTCCTGTTGATCCTCACTATATACCTTGATGTCATAACAATGCTGGAATTCATATGCAGATTGTTTTATTATTTTTTATTTTTAAAATTATTTTTAAAATAAAAATTTATTAAATTTTTATAAACAAATTACAAAACACAGAAGTGAACAAATTTGAGCAGCAAGATATAACATTGTGGATATAAGGTAAGTATGAGCATATGCATACATATTGGTGACAAGGTATTATAGTTCAATTATAAAGCATTAACTTGTATTTCGCTTCAGAGATTCATATGCAGATTTGATAGTATGAAGCTTGGACTCAGCAGGGACTTGGGGTGATTAGCTTGCTAGAAAAAGTAAGTGTTCCCCTTAAGAGGTTTAGGTACATTATTCAAATTTACCCTACTTTGCCAAGTCATCCACAGTCAGGGTGGTTCAAGCATATGATAAGTGGCTTGGTTACTGAATCTGTGCTCTGAAATGTAATGTCACACATCCTGTCCTTGGAAACAGCACCTTCTCTTTGTAATAACTCCCCACACAGAAACAGACTTGTATCTGAAGTTTTGGGTATATAACTTGCCAACTGAATGTAACACTTCAGTCATGAAATGGCCTCTGGCTTCTCAAAGTTCTGTCACATTAATGCATTGGTCTGTAGCAGACTAACATACTTATCTCTCTGGAAGTGTGGTGTGTTTTCAGAAGGAGACTCATGTTCTTCATAATGTCTGCCCTGTAGTATGACTAGTGGTGGAAAGCACCATCAATTCACAGCTGATTGATGGCAACCCTATGGGGTTTTCAAGGCAAGAGATGTCCAGAGGTCGTTTGCCATTGCCTGCCTCTGTGCCGTAACCCTCATCTTCCTTGGCTGTCTCCCATCCAAGTACTAACCAGGGCTGACCCTGCTTAGCTTCCAAGATCTAATGAGTTCAGGTAGCCTGGCCCATCAGGGTGTAGCATGTCCATTATTTCCTAGGATAACTGGGAGCGGTGGCGCAGGCAGTAAGAATGCCTGCAAAGTAACATCAATGAACAGCCAGTACGGCTGTTCGAAACCCACCGTGGTCGGGGTGAGCTCCCGGCCCACGTCCCAGCTCCCGTCCACCCAGTGGTTCGAAAGCATCATAAATGCAAGTAGATAAAGTGGGTACCTGCCCTAGGTGGCAGGGGGCACCCCTCCTCCTTTTGAAGGAGAGGGTTCGGCGGCGGCAACGATGGCGGCAGAGCAGTTCCTGGCGTCCCGGTGGAGCAATGTCGGAAGTGGAGCCCGGAGAAGTGGAGCCTTGAGAGCGTGGTGACGTGCGGCGCAGCGCGGTGGAGCCACCTGTGGACAGTAGCCGGAGCTGCAGTCAACACAGAACCACGCACCAAGACGAGACCTGCCGGAAGAAGCTGCTTGGGGAAGATCGGCTCCAGGAAGGTCACCGGGATGCCAATATCTGAAGCCGTGAAAGGAAGCCGGATGACAACTAGCCTGGGGTGCTGGTAGGCAGTCACCACCCTGTAGATAATGTGGCCCTAGTTAGGTTAATTGGTTGGTTAGAACCACTATGTAAACCACCCAGAGACCCTTCAGGGTCAGGGCGGTATATATGCTGAAGGTATAAATAAATAAATATAAATAAATAACATCCTTTCTGCAGATATACCATATGCTAAGATAACACAAACATTTCCCGCATGACCAGTCTGTCTTGTTGTTAGCACAAAACTAACATTACGGGAAGCAGAATCTCAAAAGGGGAAGCACCACATCACACAAGATCATGTACACCCTTCTTCCACATGGGATGTGTCACCTAGCTCTGCCTTTCCCCTAGCACATCTGCATAAGTGCTGTCTGATCTGCAAGATGTTCAAACAAATTAGATCAAATACTGGAGATTCTTTTTTGGGGGGGCACACACCATTAGGTAGATCAGCCCATGAACCTGTGTCACTTTACTAGGAAGTTTCCTTGGACAAGTTTCATTGAGGTTTGTACAGTAGGAACTGTGCAAGAGGAGCTTAACTTCCAGTACAGACATTTTTTCCTCATAGGTACAAATTCCCCATTGAAACAACTTCCTCATATGTTTCGCCTAGAGCAAAGGCTAAATAAAGCACGCAGACAAAAGTTAGCATCACTGCAGATGATCAGACTTTGATGATCAGACATTTTCTGAGGTTGTTTCTTAAAATCCAAGCTGACATTATAAAAGGCAATTGTCAGAAACTGGTGAGAGACTATTTCAATCTCTATCTAACATTCACCTTTTCTCCAACAAGAGAACTTCAAAGGGAGACTTCCAGCATGAAACTGATGAATAACAACCTAGTAGTTTGATATGGGGAGGGAAGGCGGTGTGGTTTAGCCCGATCTTGTCACTTCTCAGAAGCTAATCAGGGCGGTTACTTGGATGGGAGATCACCAAGGAAGGCTCGGCAGATGAAGGCAATGGTGAACCACCTCTGCTTCTCACTTGCCTTGAAAGCCCCTTGCTGGGTCACCATAAGTGGATTATGAGTTGATGCTACTTAGGTACATATGTAGTTTGATACCATCTCTGAGAATTTAACATGATCTGGGGCTCCTTAGTTATTGCAAGTCTTATCTACCATAACAAAGCATTCAAATTATCACCAGTGACTGCTACTGTGAGTGGTCTTTGTCCTTTTCTTGTTTACATTTGAAATGTATATAATTACATCACTGCTTTGTGTATTCCATGGCCCTTTAACTCTGCTGTTTACAGCATTTCCCACAACATATGTCCTACAAAGTGGGGCTCTGGCCCACAACAATTTATGCTAGAATACAAATTTGTTGGTCTTCAGAGTGCCATAAGACTCCTGCTTACATCTTAAGTGAAACTGATTTATTTAAAGATATTTGTATAAAGCATCAGCCTGCTAGTTTTATACCTTCTTCATGCCACTAAATCCAACAACATCTACAGTAGGGAATGCTGATAAAAATGGAATGAAGATATTCAGATGAAGAGAATTTTGTTGAGACTACGACTGTCCACCAATTAAATATTTATGTTTGTTTGTTTAAATAACAAGCACCTTCCTGTTAAAGGAAATTTGACCATTTAATAAACCAACGCTACCACTCATTGTCAGAAGAATTTTAATATTTTCTTTGTCATTACCAGTTACAGTAATGCCAGATGACCTCAAACAACAAGAGTGACTCTCAGTCCCATTGGTTAAAATTGGCTTCCAGTAATTAATGAGAATAATAAATAATACTGAAATCCATTAATACCTTCTACCAAGTCAAGAGAATGTCAAAGGACTTCCAGTGCTGACTTCGAATTCAGCAGTTTCTCCCCCCTCCTCCCAGGGCTGAACAAGGACCTGGACCTCCTCAGCCATTAAAAGTGTAAACTAGTTTAACAGAACTAAATGGTTTCTACATGGAAATGATACTTGGGAATTCTACTTTCCCTGCAACCATCTGAATTTGAAATAATTACATCTTGCCCTGTCTTTCCTGTATTTTATGGACCTTTGAGGCTTCTGTTTATTTTCTCCCCCATAAATCATATGCATATGCTTGCCTAGAGAAGATCCATGCAGCATGTATCTAATGAAGTGGGCTGTAGCTCACCAAAACCTATGCTGAAATACATTGTGTTAGTCTTTTCAGGCGCCCCAAGACTCCTGGCTATTTTTGCTGCAACAGACTAACATGGCTGCCCCTCTGGAATCAAGTCCTAGCTGAGATTCACTCCCCTGCAAACGACTACAGTGATACTTGATATAACACATATCACAGAGCACAGAAAGACAGATCTTGCCCTATGGCTTCCATTCTAAAATCTGAGCAAAGGAAGTACAGGCCGGGGTGGTTATTTGCAAAAGCAAGCAAGCAAACAAACAAAAAACCCAGAAAGCAAAAGCCAAAACCAACAAAATTAAAATGCATCAATTTCTGAAGAGCAAGTAGAGTGAAATAGAATACTGGAAATGTATGCTTAAGATGAAAAGCAACCAGCAATTCTGGTGGTGCTTTCTTTGGCACAGTATTACTTACGAAAGATACCCATGTGTCTTCACCCTCGGGATCCTGGACAGTGAAGTTTGGCAGCGGTGAGTTCTTTGCACAGTGGTGCTCTCCAGAGGCTTTTATAGCAGACCAAAGGAAGAGGGTAAATCATGGAAGCACCTGCTGTCCTGTTCTTCCTTCTCCTCCCATTATAATTAATTATTGTGCAAAGTAATAGAATTCTCCCTAACAGTTGGCTCTGCTGGTTGCATTGGTTCATCTTTGCATAACCAGTCAACCTATTAGGATATTTTAATACCGCACTTCCTTCCTCCAAGAAGCTCAGAGCAGTGCACAGGCGAATTTCTATCTTCCTCCTTGTATCCTCGCAACAGCTTTGTGTGGTATAGTAAGCTGAGAAAGATCAAAGGTCACTTGGCAAGCGTCTTGATAAATATCTCCCAGATATCGATCTATACCACATTAACTACCAGACCAATCACCCACTTTATTAAGACTGGTATTTATTTCAATTCTCTCTCCCTTCTCACATTTATAAATTTGACCCTGACCACTCTCGTGTCCCTCCAAGCAAATAATCAATTGTCCAATCTACCACTAGCTTTTAAGACTATTGAGTTAAATTAACCAATTACAGAAAAGGTTAGGGTATTAAATGTAGAGGGCTGAGATTTATGGTTGCATTTGGAGCAAATCTTTTTTCAGTGTATGATCACAGGAAATGGGACTAGAAATCCCTGGAATCATCTTCACGCAGCTTTTGATTAACTTGTGGACTTCACAAGATGTGGCGCTGGCCACTCACTTAGATAGCTTTAAAAACAGGAAAGATTGGTCAAAATCATGAAGGAGAGCTGTAAATGACAGCTTGATGAAACATCCATATTCAGAGGCTATGAACAAATGAACAGGGAAAGCTGTTGGTGGCATGTCCTGGTTGTGGGTTTTCTAGAGGCTTCTGTTTTGGAACCAGGAGGGTGTACTTGATAAGACCTCAGGCTAGACTAGCAGAGTTCTAAACAAACAGTGGCTCTCTGCATACTTATTCTGGAAGCCTTTCTCCTTAATTAGATACATGTATGTGGAGGCATTCTGCAGTTTCTCAGTTCTTCTTCACTTTGAGAATCATTTTATGGGAAGACAAGTTGAAATCCTCTAAACCAAAACTCAGGGGTGCACAACTCGAATAATTACCTTAGTGAGAATCAAACTTGATGAGAACTAAATGGACCCCATTGTGAAAGGCTATGGCATCATCAGCCCTCACCCCATGACATCATGATGCCTTGCCCCATAAACCTGAGATGCTGGGAATTTGGCAGCTCTTAGGGTTCAAATAGATGCAGTGAAGATTGTGCAACACGTTCTGTCCAGGAAATGCAAATTACAGACTTACACAGCCTCACTTTGCCTTGGGGCTGTGTAGGAAAGTGAGGGGGGGTGTTACCTATTCCAAACTGGTCTTCTTTGTTTGTTATTAGAATTTTAAAGGTGGAAGAGTGTTTTTGGAGAACATGGCTTATCTCAGTATGTTAGCCGGATTGCCTCACGCTAATAGCGTTCTTAGGGGAATTCTGATATTAAGAGAGGCAATGGGCAAATAAGGGATCAATCACCTTTGTATACAGGGGTCCCGCTTCTTCCAGACACACCAAAAATAGATGCTGAGACTGACATCAGTATAAGATGGTTTTGTTTACTGAAGGTATTTCAAACATACAACAGCACAAGCACACGTACAATTATACAGCATCTAGGAAATATAGATAGAGGAGAATAGCACATTCGCATTAGCAGGATGTTCCGTTGAGGGGCAATACTTTACCTGTCCATGGTGAGATGGAGCGAACCTCAGGAAAAATGAGGGGACTATAGGGAGTTGGGGTTCGTGTCCTGAACCGGCAGAGGCACGAGGAGACTCTGGCTGCATAACCAAGAGTCAGAAATTTAGGGTGAGGGTAGGAGGGGGGGGGTCAAGAGAGCGAGCGAGCAAGAGAGCGAGCTGGTGCTGGGTGCCCTCTTTTATAAGGAGTTTGAGGGGTGGGCTAGGCTTGGCCACCTCTCTTGGCACACCTCCTGCTGGTCCGTTCTGAAAACATGCTGACTGGAACTGGGGTCGAAGGTGTAAGGGGATGGACAATGTTGGACCTAATGAAAAACTAGTCTGGACAGTGGCACCTGATGGGATTATGAACCATGCGACCAGAGCCATTGTTCTCTAGTTGTTTTATGGTTGTAGTTTCGACTAGGTGATGTATTAGGTGGGGGAAGAGAATGTTGTCTACGTGCAAGGAAGGGGATTCTTTTTTTTTTAATTTATAATTTTTATTTTCAATAACAACCAAAACAACACAGCTTAAGTAACATAGTTTGTCTAACTTTACATGACTTGCATATTAAAAAGCAATAAAAGCATTTAATAGAGCATTTATACAAAGCTTATATGTGTTTTCATGACGTTTTTTAATCATTTATTCAGGTGTCTTAACAACCTAACCTATTATAAACTCAACCTTCCCTCCCCCCCACCCCCCAAAAACATTTCTAAACGTTCTAAAATCAACATAAACATAGGAAATACAGGAACCAGCTTTACATAGCTGGTTAGATAGCCCAATGCTATCACCTGTTTCCCTAAAACTAGGAGCTACAAACTTTTACAACTCCCCCCGTTCCCCCTTCCCCAGTCATATTAAAGCATTTCAAACTACCCATTCAAAAGCATACAATATGTTTCCATTGTGTAATAATTATAAAGCTTGTCTGCTTCCAGTATATACTGGAAGTTTGCTGGATTTCAATGGAGACAATGGAAATAAGTTTCTTCTTTTAAAAGATCTTTTGCCTCCCTCTGGTTCCATTGGAGTTTCTGTTTGCAGAGCTTGCATTAGCTGTTTTCCACTTTCTTCATCGTATGCATAAAAATGCTTGCCTTGATAATAAACATAAAGTTTACCAGAGGGTAACCATCGATATTTTTGCTTTAAATCCTGCAGCTGTTTGGTGGTTACTTTTAATTTTTTCCTGATCAGCAAAGCGTCTCTCGGGACATCCGGATAAATGGAAATTTGTTCTCCCATATATACAAAAGTTTTAGCATTTTGTGCCTCAAGTAGAATCCTTCTCCGTACTCTTATATCAGGTATTGTTATAAGAATGTCTCTTGGAGTATTTCGTTTAGTGTTATAATTAAGTCCTATACGAGTTGCATTAGTGATAATTGGAAATACACCTTCCTCAAGCTTCAATGCATTTGCTATGAAAGAGGCTACAAAAGAAATTAAATCTTCATTACCTCCTGCCTCCTCCGGAAATCCACGTAATTTCAAATTTGCAGCTTTTTGTTGAGTTTCCACAGTCAGTAAACGGTCTGTAACAGTAGATACATGCTCAGATAAATGTTTGATATTTGTCTGATTTTCTTTGCTATGCTCCAGCGCTGAATCTGCTTTCTCCACTGCTTGTGATACAGAGAGTTTAATTTCTTCAACATGTGATGTAAGTGTAGTTATACGATTGATCAGGCTAGTTTCCATAGTCTTTAAGTAATCCAAAATTGTTGAGTCGGATGTCTGTTGTATGCTGCTCTCTGCCGGTTTTGCTATCGTCGCCATTTTGTCTTCGGTATGCTTGTTTAGGCCTCGTTTTTTCTCAGCCTCAAAAAGATCCTTAAGTAGCCGAGAATTACTGGAAACCCCTCCAATTCTTTTCTGCTCTCTCTTGCCCATATTGGGAGGTGGCTTTAGTGTGCTTCAAGGTAGTTTAAGCGTTTTTTTAAAGGAGAAGGGGTACTGTGGGACCGGGAGCTGCAAAGTTATGCGGCTGCTATCCTCGATAGCCCCGCCCCGCCCCCCAAGGAAGGGGATTCTTCATGGAATTTGAGTCCCCTGTCTTCTGCCCTGGCATGGCAACTGCCTGACTTCTCAGTTCTATACATGGCTAGGGAACTGGTAACATACAGGAACCATAGGCACATCATCTCACAGGAAGGCTTCCTTCTTCTGGGTGTGTGTCTATAACTGGCATCACTTGGAGTCACCTTACAGTTCAGTCCCTTTTGCACACCACTAGCAAAGTCCAGGTTTTTATAACTTATGAGTCCATAAGGGCGCAATAGGCACCTTGTAGGACAAGTAGTTTGCCTTAGAGTTGCCCCCCACAGGTGAAGTCCCACACTGCTGACAACTGGTCTCTGACATCAATAAGAACATAAGAACAACCCTGCTGGATTAGACCAGTGGTTCATCTAGTCCAGCATCCTGTCTCATACAGTAGATCCAACAACAGGGCATAGAAGCTGAGGCCTTCCTGTGCTATCAACTCTTGGCATTGGTATTCAGAGGTTTAGTGCCTCTGAATGTGGTCGTTCCCTTTAATCACCATGGCTAGTAGCCACTGATAGACTTTTCCTCCATGAATCTGTCTAATTCCCCTTTAAAGCTGTCTATATTTGTGGCCACTACATCTACTGGCAGGGAATCCCACATTTTAATCACTCTCTGTATAAAGAAATATTTCCTTTTGTCTGTCTTGAAACTACTGCCCATCAGTTTCATTGGATGTCCTCAAGGTATAGTATTTTGGGAGAGGAATAAGTTCTCTTCTTCAACTCTCTCCACTCCATGTATTAATTTATAAACCTCTATCATGTCCCTCCTTAGTCATCTCTTTTCTAAACTGACTCTTTAGCCTTTCTTCATAGGGAAGGTGCTCCAACCCTCTAATCATCTTGGTTGCCCTCCTGTAGACTTTTTCCAGTTCTGTGATGTCCTTTTTGATGAGACCTCACTATTGATCTATACAGGAGCATTATAATATTGGCCCTTATGTTTTCAAACCCTTTCCTAATAATCCCTAACACAGAGTTTACCTTTTTCACCTCTGCAGCACACTGGGTTGACACTTTCATTGAGCTATCCACTAGGACCCCAAGATCTTTTCCAGACCCCATTAGGCTATACTTGAACTTGGGATTTTTTTGTTCCAATGTGCATCCTCTTACACTTACCAACATTGAACGTCATTTGCCACATTCTTGCCCACTTACCCAATTTGTGGAGATACCGCAGGAGATTTTCTTCACAGTCAGCCTTGGTTTTCACCATCCTGAATAATGTTGTGTCATCTGCAAACTGCACCACTACACGACTCACCCCTAGTTCCA